AATTACCAGGGTTTTTTTTAATGACTTTTTTTTTATAGAAGTTGTGACTGAACAGTCAATTCTCATGTCAGTAGGAAAAAAAATTCTCATGTTAGTAGGAAGAGCATCTTAAAAGTTTTGGGGTTTGGGGGGGAATAAAAGCATTGAAATCTCATCTTCACAATAGTCTTTGGATGGGCTCTACTCCCTCCTAGGACACAGAGAAACCTCATTTCCCAGTTAACTGGGGGCTCATCAGAGGCTGGTAGAGAAAATCTGTGTTTAGAGAGTCTGAGCAATGCACTGAGGCTGGCAACTTCAGTCTTCCCCTGTGTTGTCAGCCATAGAAAAGCTGAAAACTCTTCTTCCACTCTTAATCAGTGTTAAAATACTGATACAACTTCGCCAGTCCTAGCCTTCCCAAAACAAGTTCAATTAACACTCTTAGAACTGAGGTTTGGAGACCTCAGTGTTGTGATTTAAATGCATTGTATTCAAAGCAATTTTTTTTTAATCAGTAATTTTCCCTCTGCTATTGCCTTTGTTTCCCCATCTGAGTATGGAAACTAAAGAGATTTTTTTACATTTAAAATTCTCTTACATCCAGACATGAGACATACTGTGGTAGAAATACTAAATGCCTGGAGTTTTTACATAGTAAAAGTGTTTATGTAACACGCATCTTTTAAGTAGCTTAACAAATCCAGTATCTGACAGGACTGTGACCATGTGTGAAGAGTTTCAACCTGTGCATGGGGAAATAGATCAGCAAAGCCAACTGTAAATGGAAGCTCTTTCCCATCCTAACTATATGGTATTATCATCAATCACTAAAACCTTTTTCCTGTATAACATCACTTTTTTTTCATACCCAGTTTGCTCAGTGATATTGTAATTTCAGCATTTATAGCTTTCTATAGCTTTTTGTTGTTGCCTGTTAGGATATTGTAACAGTGACAGCAAGGAGTGAATAAAGCAAGTATAACCAGGTTACTTCTTAATACTCACAACAAAGTCTTTTCTTGGGGAAGATATGAAAACCATATAATTCTAGTTATTTGCAATGTGACTTGACAAAAACTTAGAGCAGAGATGACAATGTAGTACAATAAGAGTGTTTCTTCTCTAATTTCTTTTGTTGTATTTGGACTATCCCTTGTTCTATCTTTTTGCAATTCAGAGGCCAGTTTAGGAACAAATGTGATCTTTATTTTGTGCAAACAGGTGTGTGCCTCTCTCTAAATATATATTTATATACATGTCTGTATTTTTTTTTTATATATAGCTATCTAGATACATAATGTAAATGTTCATCTATTACTGTGATGCACTGGTTCATGATATTTCACACTAGCATGTACTACATTCCTGAAATAATTTTTTTTGTAAAGGGCTCATGTTCAACTGCAGGTTGCAAGTTTGGTAGAGCACACAAATACATTAGCACATTGGTCAGGTGTGCAAAACCCTTCAAATTTCAAAATGAGTCTCTGACCTGGCTTCTGGAATGCTTAGAAACAACATATTTTAGGTAGATGTTTACTTCCCCGCTTTTGCTTTAACCTTGACAGTCATTCAATTATTTTGTGAATCAGGGATGAATTTCAGGTGTCATTTTTTCCAATTTTCTCTTTCATGATTGTGATTAAAAAAGACTGCAACTCTTGTGTTATTTTCTATTATTTGAACTCAGTAACTTTCTTCTTTCTGATAGAGGAAAATAATTAGATGATGATTGAATAAATTATCTGAAAACAGAGAAGAGCTGAATAAGTAACAGATTAAAATTACCCTGTTAATGTAAAAACACCAAAAAATATTCTTCCATCTGGGCAGGGTCCTGAGCTAAAGTTATCTTTTTAGCCCTTTTCTCAGGGAAGAGAAATCTTGTTGTGCAAAATGAAACTGAAATAGTGACAGGGAAAAATGCAGTTGGGCTTTGCGCCTTTTTGGTAGCAGAAACAGGAAGGAAATCAGAGAGTAACAAAAACAAACGTCTCTTGGTGTTGGAGCAATTTTTAGTGCTTGATGGTGTACAAGAGGAGACTCCTACGGGCTGTGAGACTAAAATCTAGCTCAGTGATGATAAGACGTTATAAAAACCAGCAAAAAGCCACCAGTGCTGTTGTGTTCATATTTCTCTGTCAGATGGAGCGGCTGCTACATATGTCTCCCAGAGTAGTAGCTTAGTAAACGCACTGAATTGCATTTGGAATCTCTTGTCCCTGTTGCTCTGGGGAAATTATTTAAGGGTGTGTAGAGGAGCAATGTAAATAATCTTCTTCTCATGAAGAATTAGCTTAATTCAAGCCAATACTGAAAAAACAAAAAAAATATGGTGTAGACTGTGATCTTAACCAGAGATATTCAAGGTAGTAGTCTGTGTATCAGTGACAATTTAATCTGAAATAAGTGTTTATTAACTCAATTGCATTACACTTGAAAAATTCAGCAATATGAAGATAAGAGATGCTCTACCCTGGCTGATCATGTCATGCTTGATAAATGGCAAAAATGCAGATGAAAAGGCAAATCCATGAGAACAGACAGCACACCAGGCAGTAGAAGGCAGGAGAGAAAGCAGCCAGGGGAATGCAAACAGAAGAGACCTGCAGAGAGACAAAAATTGGCTTGCTCTTTGAAAAAAAAAAAAAAAAAAAAAAAAAGCAAACCCTAAGATAGAAAAGTAATGTATCTTAATCCAGAATTTTAATTCTATAATTTTCTCCCTTTGGATCTGCAAAGCAAAATTATCAACCTTTTCTCCCTAGAGCATAGAGGTGAGTTGTAGAGCTTTATTCAGATGGTGGAGTTTGATAGACAAGATCTAAATCTGAATTATAAGTTTATTAAAAGAATATGTATAATTCTCAAAATTTATAAGTTGTGGGTTTTTTTTCGGTGTTTTGGGGTTCATTTTACAAAATGTTTCTTCTTCCACCAGATGAGGTGCCTACATACCCATAGGCACTGCAGAAGAACTATTGTAGCACTTTTTCTGCTTTTAATGAGTTTTATTTGCCTTTAGGATTTGTAGAGAGTAGGCATATTTGAATTAAAATTATTGTAGTGGTATAAGTTGACAGAAGTGCTAGTATGACACCTGTAGCTATGAAGGTTATTTTGTGGTAAAGCACTTTTCCTAACGTAGAATAACAAAACCACAGTTTAAGCATTAAATTCACTTTGGAGCAAGAGGAAATACTAAAGTAAAATCTTTTTATGTTGCAGTAGATACCTTACTTGCTACTGAAATGCAGTTGTTTCTGGGATGTGGCATAGCTCCAAAAATGCCCTGGAGCAGTTTAGGATAAGTTTAAGAATAACTTATTGTAGGGAGATAAGTACAAGGAAAATACCAAAGTGCACAAGGATACCTTGGTTTTCACAGTACACTGGGTTGGATTGTAACTATAAGGGATTCACGTCATGTGTCCTCCAGAAAACTATACCAGTATTATTTAGAAAGTGCTTTTTATTTATTTAAAACTATTTAATTTTGTGGGAGAGGGGAGGCAGTTTAACAAGCATTAAAAAAGGTCTGGCCATGCCTCGGTGATGTCCATCTGAAGCACATCATGACCAAATAGTAATGAAATCTATCTTCACCAACTGAACTTTAAAACAAACAAACAAAAAAACCCAGTTGCTATTGCTTATATTTAAGAGTAGATATTACTTCTGCCCAGCTTGGAAAAGGTTTACTTTGGATGATAGGTAATAGATTTTTCTTTTTTTCCTATATTTTTTTAATAAATTTTGTTTTAAAATGTAATTTCTAATCCACTGAGAATCAGTAGCATCTATCCTTTTTTATTGCAATCTAGCTTGTTAGTTTGATAAAGAGTCTGTCAGCATTTCTTTTGCGTATTTTGTTTCTTTGTGTGCTTTAAAAATTCCTGCTACGCTGTATATTATTCATCCATTTGTGTCTTGAAACATTGCTAGCTTATGTTTCCCCATTTTCAGGCCATAGCGTTTTATGTCTGACCTCTCAAATCTTGCAGCAATAACATCAAGTTCCTGCTATGCTATGCTTAGAAAAACACCACCCATTTTAAAATATCTTCTGCCACCATTTTATTGCACAATGGATAGATCTGTTTTGGCGAGTTGCAATGTTTTGTTTTACTTTCTAGCTGCTTTTTAAGCTATGAAGTTTTTATATAAATTCCAAACTGCTTTTGCCTTTCATGGCTGATGACTTTTTGGAAAAGTCAAAGCGGAAGGTTTCTGGCTGACTTCCCTATGTAAGAAGAGCCTTCAAAAAGTCCTATCTGTATGTGTTTGTTGTGCTAATATTAAGCCAAAGTTTGCAGAGTGTTCACTGCTTGGAAGTAGTGTTTCTGTTCTGTCACCAGCCTTATCTGTTAAATCCCAGTGAGTGTGAAAAATGAGAAAAATCTGGGTTTGCTTGGCTGTTTCAACAGTACATTGAGAATGGCCAGATTGCTGGAGAAGATGATTCTCTTGGAAACCTCAACAGCCCAGCCTCCTCATCTGTAGGCACATAGAGCTCATCTGAGTGTGTAAATAAAAATAAATAATGCAGTGAAAAAATATGCAGAGTATTTTGTTGAAGTGTTTCAATTATGGATCTGCCGTAACTAATTTAAATCTTCTGTTGGAATTTATGCAGGCAAGCGGTCAGGTTTAAGACATTTGTAATTTAAAGCTTTCCTGCTACTACACCTTTTCTTCTTTCATATCCTATCACGATACCTTTTTTTCTGCAAAGAAAGTCTCTTTTATTCCCTTTTCCTTTCCTGCTTTGAAGAGAACATTTGCTTCTCCATTTATTGGAGGTAATGAGACTGGAGTAGCTCTGGATTCTTTAATCAGTCTAATTGGGCTTCTTTTAGTGTATAAAATATCCTTTTTTTGCACAGGACTTTGATTTCTTTGTGCAGTTGTTCCATCTCCAGCACTCAATATCTTACATGCCTTTTTAATGAAAAAAAAAACCACCCAAGGCAAGCAGCTCTCATCCAGCTGACCGGTGCCTCTGTTCTCCGTTGCAGGCTGATCCACGGAGGGCAGCTGCTGAATGGCTTGGCAGGGCCCACCGTGATGAACGCGGCCCCGTTCCTCTCCACGACGTGGTTCTCTCCAGACGAACGCGCCACGGCCACGGCCATCGCCTCGCTGCTCAACTACCTGGGCGCTGCCGGGGCCTTCCTGGTGGGGCCGCTCGTGGTGCCCCCTCCTAACGGAACGGCTCAGCTGCTGGCATCGCAGAGCAGCGCCGAGCACATCAAGGACCGCATTGAGGCTGTGTTGTATGCAGGTGTGGTTTCAAAACAAAAAGCTTTCTAAAAGAAAAAAAAAATATTAAAAAAAACCCCCATACTTTCATGCGTGCGTTTGGTGCTTGTGAACCACTGCCCTCTAGTGGCTGGTCTGCACAGAAAGCAGTTACTGACCGATGGGAAATAATTAACTGGTTAAATATACCATCAGGAGGGTTATTTTTTTTTCCCGTTTGTGTAGGAAAGATTTAAAAATATCTTTTTATACAGACTGATTCAAATGAAGTATTTCATTGGTTGATCTTAGGAGAAATGTCTTCAAGGACAACTTATCCTTTCTCTGAGCTTCCAAACTGATGTTTGCTTCTTGAATTTTCATTAAAAAAATGTGTCCATGACAGGTTGGGTTCTTTCCTTTGTTTCTGTAAGGGTGTAAATCCAATAGTCTTTCAGAATTAATTCTTTCCTGCATTAAATCAACCTTAATTTATGACTTGCATATGCCTTTCAAATGTGATTAGATTATTAGTCTTTAAGAATCTAACACTGAAATTAAAACTCAGTAGAATTTGTTTGTGACTAAAACCACATAATTCTTCTGTAGTGAGCAACTTCAATGAAGTGACAACTGTTCAGTCAAAAAAAAAAAAAAAAAAAAACTGATCTAAAATTCATCTGACCTAACCTAGATTTTATGTCCTTGCTCTTTTTCGTGCAATGGCTTCTATGGCTTTATGTCACTTAAAAAATTAGCAGCAGACTTTAAGGAAAAATTTGGTTATGCGACTTAAAAGACTGTGATCTGATTCTTGGTGGATCTAAGTTAATATAGCATTAAGAGCATCTGAATTTCATCATGTCATGGCAGTTGCACGTTTGGTTGGGCTTTTTGCCTCCATTATAATTGCAGCCTCTGAAATTCAGCCAGGAATTAGCCCTAAGTGTTCCAGAATTCTTAAAGTATATATATTATGTAGTTTATGTGCAGGTTTATGGGATTAAGTTAGCAGTTTGTGATCATTTATTCCTGGATGTTATTCTCATGGAAATTTTGTTGAGTTAATACTCCTGTTGAGTGAAGGTCACTTTCCAGTTCATTTCAAAGTGTAAAAAAGTTGGGTCACTATTTAAGCAAGCATTTTTGTGTAGCCTGCTTTTTACTGGACTTAAATTTGTTGAAACAAGGAAGTTTGGGGTTGGTTAGGCATTTTTTCAATAGTAAATATGATGTTAGACACCAAAATCTTATGGCAGATGAAAACAGCCAGTGGAAAGAAGGAAAAATGAAGGCAAGTCAGCTTTTGTCCTGAGAAGCGGTAAATAAGAGGAGGGGAAAAATCCAGTAATTAGAGAAGTGCCTTAGCGCTCCTTCTTCAGATTTTCCTTGTACTACTACCTAAAGGAAGTACATTTTTTTGCCTAAAACCACTGTTTGGAGTCAGGTACCACTAGAAATGTTGTTTTTAGCAGCCTGTTAGATTTACTGCTTCTGTTCTCTTCTGGGAGGTGTTTTTAAGCATTTTCTTCAGAAACTGGGATGGATCTTGCTTACCACCAAGGTTCAGTGATATGCCTTTCTGAGCTGTCAAAGGTTTAGGAACATCCCATAGACCTGTTTGGGATCATTGATCCAGCATAAGATGATTCTGAAGTGCTCTTCACCCTCCTAAGAAATGTGTTCTGTGGGGCACTTGTAGGGCTTACTTGGTATTTGCAAGTGCTTTGAACAGACGTGGTTTTTTTGTGCAGCTGTGCTTGTGTTACATGGGGTGCATCTTTTCAGGAGCTACAAGCCCTATAGCTGTTCAGGCAATGAAAAAGAGCTGGCTCACAACTGTGACAGGCTTGCAGTGAATCACAGTGATGATGGCAAAACATCCAATGGTAGGAACTGTCAAAGAGCAGGTTGCTTTGAATCCAATGTGGGATTTGTCCTGTCTTGCCTCAGCCCAATCGTGTGATGACTTAAAAGATGGAAATTATGTGAATTGTTAACTTCGGATCAGCAGCGTATCAAGAGTGTGCTGATTTTCCAAAGGCTTAGCCTCAAACATGATTACAAAGCAATTGCTTATAAACCCATTCTGAAATTGCTCTGTTAACTCAAGTCTCTTCTTTGTTTTAATAAATTGCTGTTCCTTTATCTCAAATGTGGAGTAAGAGCTCAGCTGAATTACCACAGCCTCTCTGTGTCATCTGTGTCACTGCACATTCCGGTTCAGAGCTGAAATAGTACAGATGTAGCAAATCACGGTTGAATTGTATTACCTGAACTGCGTAGGGAAGCTTGAATTATTTTGGACTGCAGCCAGAGCTTTTAGCCATGTGCTTTCTTTAAATATCAGTGTAAAATCATTATTTGTTTAAAAATAAAGTGTGTGAGTGTGTGTGTGTGTGTGTGTGTGTGTGTGTGTGTGTGTGTAAAGAGCCCTCATTCCCTCCTTGCGTTTCAGGACAAGGTAGGGAGGAGGGTTTCTGGGTTTGGGTAAGTTTTGGTGCTGTGAGTAGCCTGTGTGAATGAAAAAGGCCTTGTATCAAGGAGGCTTGTGTCTCTGTAAACCTGTTATCTGTCTAGGGCTTACACAGGCAGCAGGGTGCCTACTTCCTGGGCTAAGATGCAGGCAGTGCCCCACTCTGACAGTCACAGGTCACTGTGGCATGGTGCCCAGTTTTTGAGAAGCATTGCAGACTCACTCCTCTATGAGAGATATACACGGCAGTGTTTCTGCACCCTGATTTGTGCCCACTTTCCCTTTTCTGAGTGCTTTGCCACATCAATTGCGCTCTTGAGAAGCCAGCAGCTCTGTGTCTGCAGCTGCCTTGGTCTGAAGGTCTACCTGTTCCTTACTGCTACTCTTTTGTGTACTTGTACTCCCTACTTGCAATCTCAAACCTGTCCTGGGAATGTATTTTTCTTTATCTAGTCTGGTAGAGTAAATGATGATGGATATAAAGGTGTGGGGTCCCTAATGAGGAAGGAATACGACATGTAGGAAATTGGGTCTGTTTGGTAGTACCTGGACTTTTGATAGAGATACAAGTGTGATACATAAAGCTAAGAGGTCACTAAAAAATTGTGTTCTTCAGTAGAGGGAACTGCTTTAGTTTCCAAAGTGAATTCTGCTTTTTTCTTTTGTGCATGAGGGCAGTGCTTGCAAGGAAAATTTGTTAGCCTGGGAAGTATAACACTGGGAAACATTAAAGAGTTCCAAGAAGGTACTACAAGAACTGCATGCTGAATTTAATAATTAACAAAAAAAAAAGTGTTACTATACTGCTCGTACTGCAGCAATTTGTTTGGCAGGAATCCTGAAGCAACCCATAGAAGGGGCCTCAGATGGGCACCTGTTATAAAATATTACTGTGACTTTAAAAAATTATTAATGTTTTTTACATTCTTTTGAAAAAGACCCAGCCTTTTTCCTTATGGTATTGCACTATAACGAAGCTGAATAATAAGCAGCTCAGAGAAAGTTTGAGTTTGTGTGGTCACGTTCTTGTTGGCTATACCTATCTGTAGTCTGAAATCTTCCTGTAATATGTGATTAAAGTGTGTGTATGCATGTACATGCAGACACCTATAAACCTGTATGTGTACTAGATGGAGGAGAAGGGGATAAACAGCTTTTGGCAAGCTGTGCTTCCCTGTTATCGTTCTGTAGTGACAGAACATCTCATCCCTTTCTTAGATCAGGGATGAGCAGTTACAGACAGTTCTTTGCTCACTACTGATGGTCTCAAAAGCAATGTACACAAAGATAGAAAATAGTCTGTTTTCTGGAGAACAGAGGAGATACAGTGAGGAGGTCTAGTTAAAGTGCCCTTGACCCTCAAAACAAGCAATTAGACCACAGCAGGAAAAGAGACACTGCATAAATCGAAATGAATCCTTTAGTATTTGATTGTGAAGAATGACATTGTCACATTCCCAGTATGGCTTCAAAAGAAATTGAGTATAGGCTTTTTTCCCATGTACCAAATAGAAACATTCATTTCCCTTCTGCATCTCCAACTGATCCATTTAGACTCCAAGTGTTATTTACTTTTCAGTTTCCTGAATTTATTTTCTTCTGGTTTAGCAGAAGAGCTGGCAAAGTGCCATGTTCATATTGATTTATTAAAAAAGAGAAGAATAAAGAAAATAAACGCAACTGAGTATCCAGCTCTGCTGGAATTTATTTGTGGTGTCAGTGAACACTTCTTTGTTAAAAGATCACAGGTTCTTTTACACACTTCAACTATACATTTTTCTCTTCAGCAGTGAAGAATCTTATTTTCAAAGGGGTTAGCAGAAATACTGGGATTGAGGACTGTGGAGAACATGATATACATTGTAAAAGGCCTGTAAAACAAATTAATTAGACTGAATGTGGGTAGAGTTGTTTTTCCTCAGAATGTCTGATTGTGGGGCTTGCTGAGTATTTTCTGTGAAGTGCTCATCACTTTGCAAGTTCAGATCCAAATTTCTGTTATGAAATTTTTCAAAAATCTAGCCTACCTGCTGCTGAACAAGAGGAGCATCTGCAAACAGCTGTGGTTTTTTTCTCCTTTACCTGTGCTCTTTCTATTCCTGAGCCATGACTCCTCCTCCTTTTCTGGCTTTTCTTTTTATGTTCTGTTGCCATATAATACTGGTAGTGTCTGAGATGCTGCCTAGCTTGACCTTTCCTTTGCCTTTATCATCCTGTGGGCCAAGTAGTTGTCACTCCATGCCCTGGGGCTTCCTCAGTCCCATCTGTTTAGTCTCCAGCACGCTGTTACCTGCACTGTGTTACTTCCATTGTGAAGTAGGGCGGCCAAATCTTCATAATGCACTTCTCTCTGAAGAGAAAAAGCAAAAGCCTTTCTTTTGCTCCACTGAGTTCCCCATGCATGAGCCTGCTTCTCTGCAGCTCTTGTCACTGGAATGGACTGCCAGTATTTCACCATCTCAATTTGAAATCTTTCTTGGGGAGTAAGAAAGAAATTCTCCTTCAAGTTACGGAGTTCTGTTGCTGGGAGCAGTAAAGCACTTGCGGTGGGATTTATGTATCAGAGCCTGGCTGATACAATGCTGTACCAAAATAAGTCTTTCGAGGCTTAACATCTGTTCTTGGTTTTGTTTTTCTCTGCCCTCTTCTTTAGAATTTGGAATGGTCTCCCTGATATTTTCTGCAGCGTTGGCCTACTTCCCCTCACGCCCGCCGTTCCCTCCCAGCGTGGCTGCAGCGAGCCAGCGCCTCAGCTACAGGAGAAGCTTTTGCAGGCTCTTAAGGTAGGTCCTCCTTGGTTTACACTTCAAGGCAGATCAGCACCTAAATAAATAAAAACAAGTGTGCTTTAATCTTCTCGTTGAACAAACAAGTTGGTTTGTAGTGCTTTAAAACAAAATTGAATTAAATATTAATACTGAGACATAAAAGGATGCTGACTGCTAAAAAGCAGACATTAAATTTTAAGCCGTTGGGTATATCTCCAGCCTTCATGCCAGAGTTCTTCAGTACCACACTGCTTTAGTCATCCTGTTAACATGGCTTTTCTTATGCAATGCTTCCATTGCATCAGTTTATACAAGATTGTTAACAGTGTGCATTCTTCTAGGTGTGAGATAACAATTAACAATACTGGGCATCACTAGCTAATAAGCTGCGCTCTTCCATGCTTATTATATTGGAATGAATTTGAGGTTTGCTTGTCATTCAGAGGAGTTTTCAGCTGCTTTTATTCAGCCATGATAGGAATAAATGAACTATCTGAGAACATTGTTATCTATTAAATCTCATTAATTGTATGCTAAAATATGAAGTGGGAATAGGAGAAATGTTTCCAAATGTGTTTCTGGATGGGTTCAAACGTGAGTTAGTTTTCTTTAAATTTTGGAGTTTTAAAAAAAAAGTTATAAATAAAGTGACATCTCCAGATCTGCAACTTCTGCTTGGGCTCTGTTGATAAGACAAAGTCCTATCCCCCCAAGTGTCTGTACAAATTCTTGTGTAATGGGAATCTGTTCTCAGAGGAACAGCTAAAGCCGCTGTAGTATTAATGCTGAATAGTTGTGAAGGGCTCTGCCCAGTACGTGATACCACAGAGATGAACTTCCTGAGGCAAAGAACCACCATTCTCGTGGTGTAGAGTATGGCTGACATCACTGGGGCATTTCAAACTCTTGGTGTAATTGTTCCTTGGATGATGTAGTGATAGGGGCTGAATCTGCCTACAGAGGGCTGCTTGGAAGTTGATAATTATGGAGCTTTAGGCATTTGGTTATTAAAGACTTACTTTTGCCTGTACTTTCTAGAACTGTTTTTAGAGCCAGCAAAAAAAAAAAAATCTCATCCCTTGTTGTCATTGGTCTTTTGTTTTTAGAGGCTTTTGTTTCATTTTGGGGGATTAGATAGTTAATAAGATGCTTAATCCTGTATGTTCATCCTGCATCAGGCTGTCACTTGGGAGAAGGTGTGAGTACTGCTGGCTGGGTAGTCTGCAGAGTGACCTACTCAGGATGTTAAAAAAACAGCAATTTCCATAAGGACACTTAGCACACACAATAATGCTGTTACGCACCCAAGCTGGTGTGCAGTGAGACCCTGCCTGAGGGCTGTGTTGTAAAAATTTTGCTGTTGAACAGAAATCCAAATAGGAACTGATTCCACAGGTGAAATATAGAATTTCTATTGACAGCACTCCATTTGGGAGCTTTGTAACCATTAGGCTCCTTGTTCAAAGTGTTGTAAACAGTGGACCTGAGATACTGGTGAAGTGGTAAACAGCAAAGCTGTCTTACTTTCACAATCAATGAAACTTCAAAGATCAAACTGGACACTTAAATAATGATCATAGGTTTTAATGTCTCCAGGAACCAAGAGTTTTTTTAAAAATGTGGTCAGGTAGATCACGTATCTCACTTTCCTCTAGTCTTTATGCATTCTTCCATTCTACCCTTTGATAAAGGCACTTCTTCATTACTCTGTACATGAAACAGTCAACAGTTTATCATTAAACCCACTTATCTTGGTGAGCCTTTCAGCAACAATCCATCAAGCAAAGGGGGTTTGTAAAAGAAAAAGGTATCTGCTGTGTCTCAAAAGAAATCAGTCATCTGGTTTGTTAGGCTTATGATATCTGTTGCCTACCCAATTTAGGCTTCATAATTCTTGGCACAGAGAGCCTTTAGTTTGACTTAATGGTTTAGACTGAAAGTAATCAGCTGATGAGTACCAGGAAATCATGATTTCCCCTTATTACCTTCTGGTATAAGAACTCTGTCTTAGGCATTTAGGATGTGTGAGAGCTGATGAGCTGACCCAACTGTGGACCAAAAAAACACTCATGAAGATTGAGATGTTCATCATTGCCTTCTTCTCTCCCTAGGCCTCAGTTTTATCACTTCAAAATAAAGCTGCATAGCATAACTTTACCACAGAAGTCATTGACCTTTTTCCTTGGATGCCAAAGGGATATATCACATTCTTGCAACTCCCACACTGTCTCATGCCTTCAGGTCTTTAAGCAGTCACCTTCATGAGCTGCTTCTTGCACAGCTGTGTTATACGTACCTTCTTAGTTAGGGTCAACTATACCCTGTAGGCCTTTTTTGGGGACTTGCTTAGGAGCTTGATTCTTCTTCCTGATTTGGAGTATTCTTGCTTCTGACAGATTATAACAATTAGCTGATCTCTGGTTTTCTCTTGATACCAACTCTCTCAGCCCTGCAGTGGGATACAACAGCTTAGTCATGGTTTGGGAGCTAAGCCCAAGTCTTTTAAGTTTGTCACACACTGTGACAAGTGTAGATTGAATTTCCTTTAGAAAAAGTACAGTGCCCTCTCTTAGTTTCTTGGCTGAAGCAAATAGGTTTGTTTGGGTGTTCCCCCTCCTATTTCAGAATATGCCCCAAATTTCCACAGAAAAAAATCTAATACAAGTAAATAGTTGATAAGTCTTAAAATCTGCATTAAGAAAACATGTCATGATTTTTGCTTTGAAGTAATAAGATGCTTTTAGCCAGTTACATGGGTTTTATATATTCAAGGGACTATGTAAACAGTTTTGAGATTTCATAACAGGGTTTTTGTGCATCAGTATTGCATAGGAACTTTCATATGACATCACTGTCCAGTGATGCAAGCTGCTCAGAGTGTGCCTGATGTTAATAGACACTGTCAAAGTTATTCTGAAAATGGTGACTGACTTTGATGGGGCTCCCCTCTGAATCAGCCTGTCTTACAGATTCTAGTGGTGTTAAGTAGGTTTCTGGGGGGAAAAAAAAAAAAAGAAAAAAAAAAAAAAGAAAAAAACAGAACCAATTTGTATTCCAGCGGAATGGTTTAACAGAGAGGCTAATATCCTGTCATAACATAAGAGGCTGAAATTCTGTCATAAGGGCTGATATGATGGAAAACAGTGTAGGTTCACCAACGGATGGTGTGACAGACAGAACTTCTTTCTATTTTCAGCAGAGCAATTGCAAAATTGCAAAAACAAATGCAAGTGTCTGGAGCCATGAAAAGCAGAACTGCTACTTAAGATGTGTATTTCAAATAGCTGTTGTACTTAACGTAGGCAACACTAGCTATTGCTGGACAAGGGGACAGAATGACATCAGTGCTGCTTTGTCACTACCCCACACCCTTCCTCCTGGTCGCCTTCCTTATGCTGGAGACTGGGCAGTGGCAGCCCCCATCACTGGAGGATGTCATGATGCAGAGCTGGTTCTCCAGTATTGGTGCTGGGAATCGGGTGTGGCACAGAGCAGCTATCCCATGTGCAAGTCTGTCTTATTGCTTGAGTTATGGAAGACAAATATGCCACAGGGGATGTCGGTCAAGTAGGTTACAGGTACTCAGCCCCTCAAAAGCAGCTCTTTAATGAAGACCAGGTTCCACTAGCTAAAAATTTTTAATATTGAGCAAGCCTTGTTTTGGAAGAGTGCATTCAGACTTTGCAGCCTATGACATGGCTCTTACATTGTCCATGCAAAATTGGCACTTTCCCCTTTATTTTAGTCTACAGGTGTTGCATTAGTTTTTACAGGGTTAGTATTAAATAGCATCAGAAAACCTGCCTCAAGAGATGCCAAGAGGATGCGGGATAGACTAGGATACGAGTTAGAAAGATAGGAGAAAAAAGTTGTCAGAAAGAGAGCAAACACTTCAGCATTCAAAGAAGTATAAGCTGTGTGTAGAAGAGCTGAAAGTTTGGGAGTTGTTTTTCTTTGCATTAAAAGAAATTTGACGTGAATGGTATTGAAAGAGGAGGATATGTTCATGTGATAGAAATGTGTTATTCAAGAAGTGGATGTGTGAAAAAGAACAGTGCAAAAAAATGGTGGCTGGTGTGCTGTGTGTGGGTCTTCTATGGGAGTAAAACAGTGTCGTCTGCAAACCTCTGAATGTTTTGGAGAGTATTTGAAGCTCTTTCTCTCCATCTTGGCTTTCGTAACTGTGTGCTATCAAATTGCTGCAGCATGCCAAGGAAGTGTACTGATAAGGATCAATTTTATGTAAATTGCTTGGGAATGGGGGGAGCCGCACTTTGTGGTTACGTAAATATCCTGTGGGATAACCTTGGAATCACCGTAAAATCTCTTCACTGTAAAATATCTCCATTGCAGAGTTCACAGTATATATTCTGTTTTGGGGTTTGTTTGGGTTTTTTTTCCTAAATTGAAATATTTTTGAGGAAAAGTTGGATGTCTCTTAGCAAAGATTTCTCATTTGCTTTTGGTTCCGGTGGGTGGGAAACTGGTGGTGGCATTTGTCTGCCAACTCCTGTTTAGCTGTGTACGGTGAAGAAGATGACACAGCTTTGACAGCTTCATCTTCACTGAATACTAAGGGTTGAATAATTTTAATTGGGAGGAAAAAGCAAAACAAACACGTTGACTATTTAGAGCAGAATATTATACTTGTCTCTGTTTTTTGGCAGTTCGAACTGTCAAAATTTTCCACTCTTGCAACCGCACCTATCTCATTCCCAGAGCTCTCCCTGCCTTTCACTAAAATACAGTTAAAAAGAAAAGAGAAAAAAAAAAAGTAGAGCTTGAAAAATATTAATTTCTGATTTTATTATTGAAATACACTTTTTGGCATTTAAATTAATGCTTATTGTTCTATACATACACATGGGCTAAGTAGCTTGCCCATGCAAACACATGGAAGAATTGCTTGTGGAAATGAGAACAAATGAGCCTCACATGTTACAAAAATCTTTGAACTACCTGGAGAGACTGGATTTTTTTATTGCCACAGTGATGAGACAGTAACATCTCAGCCACTGGATTTTCAGTGACGTGGCCAGATACCTTTTTTGGTTTGCCTGGCTCACTCCTTCAGACCTCTGCTATTTTTCTTGATGGACAAAATATACATTCTAGGGTGTCATTTACTCTAGCAACTAATCTTAGTGCAGTTTCTGATACAAGCTGCAGCTAATTGCATATGTTTTGTCTTCACAGCAATTTCCGATTCTTGATGATTGCTTTAGCCTATGCTATACCACTGGGTGTTTTCTCTGGCTGGTCAGGTGTTCTGGATTTGATATTAACGCCAGTACACGTAAGCCAAGTAAGTATCTCCTGGCTGATAATAAGCAGCTATTTTGTAAGTGTCATTTTTTTATTTTTGAACCAGCATACAAATTTATCAGGTTTTTATTTTTAGGATGCTATTAGTACGTATGGATGACTTCTCTCCTGAAATTTTAAACAAAATAAACTGTAGCTTTGGCATCAAACTGTCATGATATTCCCTGCTGACTCTCCACCAGTGGTGGGTCTTTTCAGAATTCTACACACCTTTTGGCAAGAAGGAAGAGGCAGGTAGACAAGCAGGAGTATTGTTGGCTCCTGCACCTTCAGTAAAAGAAAATAATGTTTACCAGGTAGAAAGGATGAAGTGCAAAGGAGAGGATTTCTGAGCTTTTGATACAGTATTATAGAAGAACTCCAGAGAACATTACTCAGAGTCTATAAAGAGAGGTCACATCAAGGGCATAGGCTACTTAGTCATACTTTCTTTTAGTGAATTTATTCCCTTTTGAATATCCTAGAAAAATTCTTGCACTTCAGATTGTTGTCAGGAGCTGTTGCTAGCAGTTTCTGGCTTCTGCACACCATTCGTTTTGAAAGTAACATCTTATCATCTTATTTTCTCAGCTTTAACATGTTTATCTGTTATATTTTGTTTTTTCCTTCCTGTCAGGTAGATGCAGGCTGGATTGGATTTTGGTCTATAGTTGGTGGTTGTGTTGTTGGCATAGCAATGGCAAGGTAGGAATAATTACGAGTTCTTCTCCATTTCTTCAAGTGTGATTGTCATTTAGCTTATCCTCTTAATAACATGACTTGTTTTCTCTCATCTTCTAGAAACTTCAAGTGGGAAAAGCATTTTGGGGTTATGATGTGTTTCTTGTAGAGCAATAACTTCTGCATTCCTTGTTAGTTGTTGCTGGGGATTGAGAACTCCATACGTGAATACCTCAGTTTGGCAAATCATAATGTTACCTGTGACAAGTGCTTCCTGTACGCTCCTTTTAAACAAGGTGCCTGTAAATTCACCTGCCTGGTATGAGGGAGAACCAGTTGCAGAACATTTGAAAAGCACTGAAGAAATTATTGTCTGTCTCCTTCCATCAGTGCTTTTGGGCATATTGATTACCAAAGGGATGTTGGGAATGTGGCAGAAGCAGCCTACCCACAGTAACGTTACGTTCCTCCGCAGAGAAATTAGTCTGGGCCCATTTTAGACAGGTTACTGGATTCCTATACGGCCCAAGGTTTTTTTGCTGTACCGCTATGGGATACAGTATTGAGTGTACCTATGCTTCTTATATAGCCAAACACAGCATGCACTGGCCATCATGAATGCTGATAACATGAGGAGCAGAAAGCCAGGATTACATTGTCCTTCCAAAAAGCTGATGATTTTTCTTCATTGAGATCTTTTTTTTTTTTTTTTTCCTAAAGGGGTGGAAGGAGGGAGAAAAAGCCTTTCAGGAGGTACTTGAGCAGAGAGTTTATAAAACTGATTAAAGCCATCACATTTTCCCTTTGCATCAGGATATATAAGCATTGTCCTGGCTTCTCTATGTCTGCTTTTTAGACTGTAGTTCTGTAATGAGTTTAGCACAAGTGCAGGCATCTGTCATTGTTGCATTCATTGTGGGATTGTGGACCCAGACAGGCATCTTTTTAGGACAGAAATTGAAGCTCTCTTTTTTCACTTGCTGTGCATCATCAGAGTACACAGTGCATAAAGAAGTGTGAGGTTTCTCATCCTGACATTTTGTAGGCTGCCTAGCAACTGTGACAGAGGGAGAGGAAAAAACTCTTGACTGAGGGAAAAGAAACAAGTGCTTCCCTCCTGTCCACTCTGGATGCAGGCTGAAGTACTTACCTATTGAAACAAAGTTCACACCCTGATTTCCTCTGAAAAGAGTTGCTTTTGGTTAGCTAAGCTCAAATAGAAAATTTTCTTGCTAAGAGATGTAGATGTTTGAAACCAGCTGCTGTAAACGACACAGATGCTCTAGCAGCTTATGTGCTGAAGTGGGTAGCGTGTCAGTGTGATCTTTTCCACCGTGAGTTAATTCCTGATCTATTTGCAACATTGCAGTAGTAGAGGGGCATGGTTAGCAGCTCACTTAACTTTGTTAGGACAGAATCTGCTGACTCAATGACAACATGCAAATCTCCATCTTTATGGTAGATTAATTTATTTAATATATTGCCTGGATTAAATTTCAGGAGATGCTGATGGTCTCTTTAACTGCTCCAAAACTAATGTCAAACCTTGTTGAATACAAGTATTCTGTGGGATTCAGAGCTTGGCTGTTGAGTAATTTATTTTTTTTTTTTAAATGCCAACAGTCTGTCTCCAAATATGTCTTTCTGACTTGGGCGATACACAGTTCAAATGGGAGGGTTTGCATACAGAAAGGGAGGGAGGAGGTGATTTGTCACTCCTGATGGATGACTCTCCCTCCTAGGCCTATTCAGCATTTATCTGTGTAGGGTTGAATCAATGACGAGTCTGACTGTAATCTGCTGAAAGTTGTAATTAGGAAAATTAAGTAATGATTCTTGTCAAGGCTGACAAGTTGATGTATTTCAGTGTCAGAACTGTTATTTGCCAAGCAAGCAGCTCTCCCCTTAACCATCTCTCAGGAAGCTGCTGGGTTTTGGTTGTTTGGAGGGTTTTTTTCCTTTTTTTTTTTTTTTTTTTCTTCCTCCCCCTTGTTAATTTATCAAACCAAAATTGGCATGGTTGAGGAGTTTGCTCTTTCCATTTTTGTCAATGCAGATTCAACCATTTAGAACTATAACAACCTGAGCCTTGTCCTGAAGCAATTGGTCCTGCACGTCACAATAGGTGTTAAATCATCTATATTTAAAGTAATGCCCAGTTTGGAAATTTGTTTATCTATCTCATTTTCAAAATGGTGCAAGTTTTCCTCAGCACAATACATAAATCCTCCTGCTTTCCACCCACTGCTGTCCCAGTAGATGTGAACTTAGATATGTTTAGCTAATTTGTGTGATGCATTTTTATAATTGAAAAGCCTTGGCTATTTTGGGCAGCTGGCAGGCACTTCACCCTTTGCTGGCAGCTTTCAAACAATGCTGATTTGAGGAAAAGCAATGTCAAAGAGCGGCGTTCACACTATTGCATAGAAACAAATCTTTCCCTTTTCTCATTTTTTTTTTTATTTGTGCCATTTTTGCCAACAATCATACATATTTCTGAGGTTTTGTCCTCTGCAGCTCAGTTTTGTTACCTGCTTTTAACCTGCAGTGTAGTCAAAATGCTGAAACTTTGACATGGTGATAATTTCCTTAGCAACAGCCAATGTTGTCAGCAACATGGGTTTGTGATTTTTTAACTGTAGGATTCAGCCTAGAGCTGGATTTGCTCGGTTGCAGGAGACTATTACTGGCAGTAGGCGCAGAGGTCTGTCTCTGGGTAAGTATACACTTTCCCTCCTGGTGTGCCTACATTTTTAGCAGCTACTGACATCTCCTTACATGCTAGATGATGAAGAAGGATTTAAATAGAACAGAGAGTTTTGAAAGCAGATACTGGGTCAGAGGATAAAAAGAATTTCTCTGATTTTTTTTTTATTGAAACAAGTATTCTGAAGAGCTGACTAGATGTTACAGTCATCTTTATTCTCTTGCAACCAGACAAGAAGCAGAAGCCTTTCGATCACCAAGTTCAGGCTATTTTGCTACGTTGATTTTTTTTTTCCCCATTATTTCTGTTGTTGGCTGAATTCCATAACTGCATAAACCTTTAAGTTGGTATTTGACCCTTGTAGAGTCTTGTGATGTCTGAGAGCTCCTTGGAGCACACTGCTAGCACTGATCCCAGACCAGGATCTTTGTGTCAAAAAGAGTTGCAGCTGCTAAGTAAAGGTAGCTTTTTGCTCCACTTAACTATCTTGTATGATTTATTTGTGTGTCATTCTCCCATCTCCACATACCCCTGGTGGTGGTAGGATAGAGATAGAGGACCCCTTAGAGATTTCTTCCAGACCTGTAGTCTGTGAATGTCCTTTCCTGAAGGCTGGTATTTCTCACATTGTGTTTTGTTAGATGGGATATGCATACCTGCCCTTGCCTGTAAGGAGAGGGAATAGTGATGTTTTCTGACAGCAGTCAAAGGAGCAACTCTGTGGAAGAAGACAAAAGTTTGCACTTCGAGATGCTTCTGAGAAGCTTTTAAAATTGCTGATTTTGACCCCAGTGATCCCAAAGAATAATTAAAGAAACTGGCAAACCACTGAGAAGGGGTGATCCTGATTTCTCAATTTGGATTGTCAGAAAAAAACAATAGTAGCAGCTAACCTCTGACTATTGGAGATTAATGCATAAGCCACTTAAACACTGCAGTCATAAACTTTTAAGATTTTATGCAGCATTGATCTTCCGCTGCTGTATATTGAATTACTTGCTGCTAAATTCAATGTGGAATTAAAGCACAAGGAGAATCAAAACAAAAGGAAAGAAGCTGGTTTGGGGTTCTTTTTTTTTTTTTCCAGTTGCATTACTTGTACATCTCTTACGGTATATGTGGAGCTGAGGTTTCTCGTTCTTCAGATGTTGGTAGCATTATCTATTTTATCAAGTAAGCTGTGAGGTATCTGCCAGCACAGTGGTCTCTGTCAGGTGCAGGGAAGGCAGTTTGCTGACAGACAGGTTTCAGCCCAGCCCAGGTGGATTGTGCTGCTGCAGCCCTAATCAAGGTAGGAGTCTACGACAGGGCAGAAGACATTCTGTAGACTTACATATCTAACCTGTCCAGCCCAAAATCACATCTTCTAAGCAGGAGATTATAGAAAATTACTCGTGGATAAATGACATTACCTTTTCTAACATATCTTTTCTAGTAGCTGTGATGAAATCCCTTTTGAAAAGAGCAGTTGCACTGATAATTATGCCATGTGAGCACTGCTCAGATGCATTCTCTCTCCTTGAAAGAAAAACGAAAAAGATGAAAAAAGCAATTGTACCATCAGGTGCTATAAAGATCATATTTCCCTCTGTATAACAGCCAGACTGCCCAATGACTTGTGGGGCTGTCTTCCCCCCAGACTGTCAGTGAAGCATATGTAGGAGAGGAGTGGCACCAAGCCACTTTTGGTTTCTGGAGCATTTCATCCCAAAACAGTGTGATTGCTTGTGTAGAGTTCCGGCTTTTCCTAAGCCACCAAGAGCTTCATCCCTGTTGCATCTGAGGGTTCAGAAACTGTTCCTTGTCATCTTCAATCTAGGGATTCTGGTATTTGGAGTTTTGTCATTTCCCACAGGAATAAATCTTGACACTTAACTATGTCTTGAATGAAATGCAGCAGCCTCCTCATATGCTAATTTAGCAGTGTGTCTGCCAGGGGAGACTGGCAAATCCTGACAAAACAGCGATGTAAGCAATGGTGTGATGTTGTGTCCAACAAATGCAGAAGAAAAAGAAAAAGCCACCTTCCTATATACCAAGTGTTTTCAGCTGATGCCTTGAGAATTTTTCTAGTTTGGTTGTTATTTTATGACAGCTAAAAAATCCATCGCTCTTCAGTTTTACAGCTTGAAATACCACCATTCTATAAAAATGCCTTTGTTCTGTTTCTGAAAATGAGAAACATTTTTTAAATTGTTTTTGTAGTCTCCAAAATGTTTAATAAGAATATGTTAAATTAATTGTCAAGCATCACATTTAAATAATGTGAAAATCAGCATTCGTACTGCTCTGATCTGTGCTTTTATTTTAGATTTGCAGATTTTATCAGGGGCATGCTGAAGTTTATACTGCTGCTGCTTTTATCTGGAGCAACATTAGCATCAACCTGGTTCACTCTCACCTGTCTATCTAGTGTCACTCATCTGCCTTTAACCACAGGTATCAACAATGATTTTTAGTTCTTATTATTAATAATTGGTATTGCAGGTATTCACAGTCTTAAGTTAACTATATTATAACCTTGTTTGGTCTCCTTAGCAATACAGTAGTTTTACCAAGACCAAAAAAAAAGAGGGATGGGGTGGTGTTAGAAAACCTATTGAATCTGAAATATCTTTACCAGCTTTGAATAACTTCATAAAAAGATTAAAAACTAACAAAACCCTATAATAAAAACCCAGAATATACATTTAAAATTTATTTTGGGACTTAAGTATTTTTAATTTGGAGTGTTTTGGAATAACAGAGGTGAGAAATCAGAAGAATCAGATGAATGGGAGTAGCTTTATGTGTAAGAAATGATGACATGTCTGGGAATTTAGGGGTTTGAAACTTATATTGATTATTTGAAACACATAGTGCAGTTCAAACCAAGGTGACCTGTAATATTTTCAGCTATCTAAATCTATCCTTGCACTGTGCTGTCCTCTTATTTTTTTATTTTGCACCTGCATGCAGGTTCAGGGAACTCTTCCAGCCCAAAATTAACTCAGTGTGCACCTCAAAAAGATGGGGAAAAAAAGCTATTGGCAGATTGCAGGAAAAGCTCAGCGGTCTTCTCAGTCTGCTAATGAGCTGTACCCTTAGCTGAAAATTAGCACTGCTTAGTTCTTAAAAATTTGTTCTTCACCTTACTATCTGCACTAAAGGACTGATCCACCTGTGACTCCAAGACCTTCAAGAGTAATGAGTAAAACTAAGCCCCTGAGACTTTTAAAAAACTATATTAAAGAATTCTGTAAATCCATTTTAACTAAAGTGCCGTCTTTGCTGTGGGCAAGTTTATGCATTATAGGAGAAATGAATTTTTTTCCTCCATTTTTTATAAAGTGTTTGTAATGGAGAATATATAAAATAGTGTTTTACTCAAATTAACTTTGAGTTTAGTAAGTGTCTTTAGTGTATTGCCTATATCACAACTGTAAACTAAAGTGGGTACAGCAGATTGAAATACATCATCAATTCAGAAGAAACACCATCTGGATGGATAGGTCAAATTTGTGATTTATCTTGAAATTCAACTTCTTCCAAAAAAAATCTGCTTAAATAAAATTAATTTAATAAATCAAATTTCGTGGTGGCTATTGTCATACCAAATGACTACACACTTCTTTTCCATGAAATCTAAAATAAATGAAATAAAAGCTTGTTTTTTGTGCTTGCCTGCTTCATCACTGCAAGTCTGCAGTAATGTAAATTTTTACAGTAGCTCTATCCTCTGAATTGATGCAACTAGCCAAACACATAAATGTCCCTTCAAGTCTATGCATAAGAATGAAGCAGAGGGGTTTCAAGAGGTGAAAATCATTATGTATGTACTCACCAATAATCCAAAACAACACTGATGGAGTACTGTCTCTGATTTTATTGTTTGTAAAGAGCTCGACATGCAACATAGATTCTGGAAGAATTCTTACTTGTTTATAGTATGTAGGTGCATTATGGTTGGGTTTTTTTTTGAAAGCTGATCCACTGTCAGGAGATAAAAGTGTGTAAGGTATGTGGGCTTGATATAAAGTATCCTAAAGTAGCATCCCTTGATAAAAATCTATGGATTGGGTTATTCTTTTTATGTGGTTATCATTTATTTTTAAATGGATTATTCTTTAGATTGAATTGCAAATTATATTTTAGAGTTTTATCTGCACTGTTCTTATGTACGTCACTGTAAATGTTGAACCCTTTTCTATAAAACACAAGCTTATTTTGAATAGAAATGCCAGCAGTATGGTTAAGTCCTCAAAAAAAAAAAAAAAAAAAAAAGGCAATCTAAAGCATCAGGGCCTAATGTGCAGCGGCCAAATAAGATCTCTTTTTAATTCTGTGGCATAATGTTTAAACTTCATAGATAAGAACCCCCCCGCCTATCAGCCTTTCCTCGTTAAAGTTCATATAAAATAGATGTAACGTGCCTGTTCAATTTAGATCCCTGTACACAGAAAAGCAGTGGTATATCTTTATGAAATATGCTGTTATGGATGAAAACGCATAAGCTCTTTGAGCTAATTTATAGGACTTCATGCTAGATTATTCCTCAATGTAATAATGCAGTACAATGATGACCTCTGCATTCCACAGTAATTGGGAGAAACGCTACATTTGAATTGATTTGGATGAATTTTTTTTCATTCTTTTAATTAAAAGTTTGAGATGTAGAGTATATCAGAGTATAAATGCAGGAGGTCAAATGCAGGCTGTTAACTGGCAGCTTTGGGAAGTGATTGGAGGAAGTTAAGGTGGAAGGCACTCTGCATGCTCAGTGGACCAGTGTTGACAGTTGATTTCCAGGTAGGTATCCTCTGTGCGGTTTCGTAGAACTGGAAGATATGCAAAACAAATGCACAGCCATCATAGTGTTTGGGGTTTTTTTTGTTGTTGGTGGTTTGGGGATTTTTTTGTTTGCTTGTTTTCAGAAGAGGTCCATGTAGTGCTTTTTATCTGGCAGCTACTTTGCAGGCATCATTGAGCACCTGCTGCAAAGCCAGGATTGTTGTGTTATTGGGGGCAATGGGATTTAATGTTGCCAGAAGGTTAATAGGCTCCTCAACTTCTTCCTCTCCAGTGGCAAAGAGCACAAGTGTTAGGCTCGTTGGTGCTACAGAAACACTGATGAATCTGGGTCCACACTTTCAGACTTACTCAAATGCTGAGGCAGAGCAAGCGGGATTCAAAACCGACCATTACAGAAACTTGTGGAGGTGTACATCTGATCTTGCAAGGAGGTTTACCCTTCCAACCAACTAGCTCCTGTTTTGTGAGGGGCTTCCCCCTCCTCTCTTGCCTTGCCTACAGTGTGGTTCTTTTGAGTAAGTCAGATATTGCCCTACAAAACCACAAGCACTGTCATCTTCACAAATACCCTGAAACTGCTAAACCATCCACATGAACTGATAGACTGCTGGTACAGTTAAAAGGGAGCTCTTCCATGGGACAAGACGTTCACTTTGCTGAGGAAGCAAGAGGGAGTCTTTGTACTGGCCCAGGGTTTAAGGTAGGCTTCACCCTAGAGATGAAGGCTGGTTAGAGAACATTGTCATCCACTTCATCTCACCTGGCAGCTGCTTGATCCATGAATAACGGTTTGCATCCATAGGCAGACCTTGCCAGTGGTTTCCCCAGGTCCAAAAATAGTAATTTCTGTTAGCTTGTGGGTATTATGGCATATATGCTTATTTCCCTTTTCTGAACACCCTCTGCTTGCCTATCATTTGATCGCTAAAGTAAGTGCTCAGGTGGGAATGTTTGCATGCAAGCAAGCTTTTGAAATGCTAAAAGAATGAAAGAGATTGAGCAATTATTCACCCTAAAGAAAAGGCAGGAAAATCTCTAAAGACTTGTCTTTAAAACACAAACAGCCAGCTCCCCTCTTTTAATCAGTATTCTTTGTAGCAGCCGTAGTAATGTCTGGTTTAAATATTGAGGGAGGGATTGTATTTGAAAAAATGGTCACAGCAAAATGGTTTTTTTCCTGCACTGGTTCATGTAATATTCTCCTAATGCCTTGTAAATAGGCACGATGTCATCTGAAGATATTTCTTACAAAATGGAACTACTTAGAATGGGGACCTTTAATGCAGATATTAAAAATCAATGACTGCTTTGTGTTTTCTTTAAATGATGCTGTTCAGCATTGTTTGCATTGCGTGCTGCCTGCGTTGCTCCGCATTACCATAATACACTCAGTTTTTCCTCCTGCCACAGAGCAAGACAAGTTTTCTGTCACTTGCTGGCTTCTTAATACATCTCTAAAAAGATTTTATAGAAAGTGTGTTTAGAGTAACACATATAACTGCTGGGGGAGGGCGGGCGGGGGGGGGAGCAAACAAGACAATAATGATACAGTGCCATCATAGCTACTATGTCATCTGTCTAAAACACCTCTCATCAGCTAATTAAAGCTACTAAAATCCTTTGATTCTGGAATCTGTTTACACTTTAAGCAAGCTTGAATTTGCTTTTAAGAAATTTTAAATTTGATGTGTATTATTTGCATTTTTCAGCGAGTTTCAAAGACAATTTTATGTACACAACGAGCACTAAAATAGTTTTCTGCATTGAAGTCCCAGTGCAGCTGCTGATCTCTTTCTGTGTGCCAAGTCCATTGTTAGTTTGCTTTGTACTGAACTTCATTATGTGAATTTATGTACAATGGGATACTCTGACCCAAAATAATTGTGTAAAGCATTGTAATGCCAGCTTCAGTATCTTGCCACTTTGTATTGCTGGTAGTATCTCTGGATACAAATACTAGCATTTTCCAAAAATTGATATGCAACGCTAGTTGCTTGCAGCTCAGATTGAATGTTTTCAGCATAGCATATCAAGAATATTCTAATATTTATGAGTACATTCAGCAGAATTTTGCTTTACAAAATCTTTTCTAGTGCAGCATGGCAGATACTCTGAATATGATGGCAACTGCATGAGTTGATGACTATATTTAGGTTAAGAAGCTTACACTTTATTTTCAGGTTCAACAGATTGAACATTATAAAAACATCTGTCTCCCTGTCCTCATCTACAAAGCACAGTATTGAAAAAGAAAGGTGTTAATTATTTAAAACTGATTGGTTTATTCTTGGAGTTTAATTTCTCTACTATAAACAAGATGTGCTTGATAAGTTTAAGGCAGGGGAACTCAGAACATAAAGCGTGGCCTGAGAACATTTTTTATTTTTAATTTTTTTGTCCCCTAGCTTCTGAATTAACCTGTTTATGGCTATGGGCAAATCATTAACCCCCGCTGCTCTTGTGCTTTTTCCCACTCATAAGATGGGAATAATGACCTTTGCCTTCCTGAAGACTTCTGTAAGTCAACAGATAGAAGAGTGCTTAAAGAAACAACTAATTGAGGGGGTTTATTTTAAAAAAAAGTGTAAAAAACCAATGTTAAATAGGGTACAATGCTTGAAGTTTGGGAGGGACACTTCAGGGGTGAATATCTCTTAAGTCTGACAACTTTTAAATATCCATCAATATCAAGCCTCAAATATTGTGTGATTTCCAGCTCCTGTCCTTGCCCTCCCCCTTTTCTTTTTCTTCTTTGGAGGCTTGCTCAGTAATTTCTTCACTTTTTAGTTCTCTAAAGTGAATGCTCTACTTTCAAAGCAAGTTCCACTTGCTTTTCTCTTGGAAGTATATAGAACAAATCCAATTTGATGAGATTTTTTGGTTACTTTTGTAACTGTATCAAGAAACAAGAATTTGATCAGTGCATGCTGGGATGGAAATCCAGGCAATGAAACATATTGATGTGATAAACGTGCACTACAGGGACATTCTTCTTCTGTTGCATTTTTTGCTCCTATAAATGAATTACAGGAAAAATTACTGTCTTACCTTGAGGGAGTCTCATTTCTCGTGGTAAAATTAAGGGGGACTTCTTCCATGACTATTCTTACCATGGCCAGTATCTAGAATTAAATTATAGGGAAGTTTCATTCCACTTCAGCAGACTTTAGGGAGTTTGGTCGGAACGAACTTTGAATTGCTGAGATCATTCATGCGGATACTGAAGTACTAAAGTCAATGAAACATCCGTCTGCATGAGGCATTATCCTTTCATTTTGGCATTTGGGATATTGTTACAATGGACAATAACAAAGTGCCCTAGATCTTCGTGGGTTTTGCTTTAAATTGTATGCTGCACCCAAGAGAACATATTCAGTTGAATTTATTTCCCTGTTTATCCATATGAAATTTGTGTGAGTCTTGGCTCAATTTGTCTGAGAACTGTTACAAAATGTACAGAGTTCAAGAGTTTCTGGCAGAGGACTTTGGAAGAAGATACAGCACCACCTGCTTGCACTTGATATTGACCTAGAGGATTGCATCTCCTTTGTAAATTTATCTGCAAAATACTTTTTTTTTAAATGGTAATATTTCATATTATTTTTTAAAAAGCAGCCAAGATATATTTGCCACTGGGTTGCTAAGAACTGTTTACATCAGTGGAGGTCCTTCCATTGGTTTCATCTGAGTTTGGATGGGGCTCTGTAGTTACACATCTCGTGATGGTATAATTGCAAGAGTCAATAGCTAAACGTGTTGCAGAACATGACATGATGATGCCTAGCTTGAGCCACCTGCTGCAGCAGCTCCAGGCCAATTCTCTGAAGCAGCTGTGCTTCAGATGGGTGTTTTGCCTTTCCTGAACGTTTTTGCAGAGGCCAACCTGAGAAATAGCTGCTTCATTCACAGGAACATCTTTAAAACGTGGCATTAATCAAAATAGTTTAAAGAAACCCACCCCAGTTCCATTATTTATGGATGACCACAGCTGTCACTGTCTCAGGTACCCAACTTTGCATGTGCCTTTATAGGCAGTTAATTTTATTTTGATTGGTCTGGACTTTTTTTCTTTTTGTGCTAATAGCATGACACTTCCCTAGAATATGCCTATCCAAGCTGGTTGTTTGTCTGTGTTATGCTTTAGGACATATTGCTACCTTCTCAGTAAATAATCTATTTTCTTTTTTGTCAGCACTTTTGTATCCTTATATTCATTTCCAATTACTGTCATCAAAATTGTCTTAATTGAAAAAACATTCTCTTTAACTTTACCAGCTGTTCTTCTACAGTATAAAATCATAGTAACTGTTTGTGTTTATTCAAGGCAAGGTCTCTGTAATGGAAAGTAAATGGTCTCTGTTAATAGGTGGCATTCTTGTTGCCCATGAGCTGGAATATGAGGTGTGCTATTAAGTGTGTGAAATAAAGGGCAAAAGCCACAAATTGACATCTGCTGGATGCTATATTCTGCCTGTCCTTTTGCCTTGGCATTTCCTCTTACTGGTTTCCAGATACATGTGTACATACTCAGACCTCGTTTTTAAGGGCTGCCTGTGAGCTCAGCTGAGGTGTTGTCATTGGTATTCAGCTGGCAGCTTTTGGTGTGCACTCGTGAGGCAGGTAATAGTTGGGGAGAATCAAAAAGTAATGCTAATGCTGCTTTGCTCATGGAGGTGTGGAAGTGTGAGGTGTGTGATGGTGGGTGCATTTGCATGACTGGAGCTGTCATGACAAGGAAACATAAGGCTGTAGTTTCTAAAGTATAGTTACTGCACTAGTTTGCTTATGGTCTAGTCTTAATATATTTTATTAAGCAGTGAGCAATGATGTAGTTGAAGTTGCATACTTTAAACTATCAGATTTAATTGAAGCCTTCTGTTTGTTTTGTGAAAACTTCGGCACCTGTATTGACTTAAATTTGAAGTCTCAATCTTTGCAATGGTTGCTAATCTTAGGGGCATATTTTTGCCTTCCTCTCAAGTGAATCTTAAATTTCTGGAAATTACATATCTAGAGATTGTCTCCATTCAAGAGGCAGGTGAATCCCCTTTCCTGACTGTTGTTGACATACTGCCTCTGGCACACTCTGCATGCAGCTTGACTTTTGATGGTGCTATTGTGGCTTTCAGCAGCTTTATGACTATTTCCACTGTTTGAGTTTCTGATACAGAATTACAGCTGGCTACAACCTTCTTTTCTTTGGGGAAACTTCTGAAAATGTTCTCTAGAAGTAGTTATCTATAGGTGTCTTCACTTGAGTATAATGAGGGGCAGATGTTCAGTTGTCTTTAAGAGATTCCTCTATTTCATTTACCTGTTGGTTTATCAAGCTAACAGGAAAATTTAAAGTAGGTGAATGTGTTTGGATTTGGTGGCTACTTCTGATAGCTGTTAGAGCAATATGTAGTGGTTTGAGGGAAACAGGAGTTCAAAGAGGTTCATGAAATTTTAAATACTGGAGAGGACTTGCACCAGAGGTCTTTGGATCTTTTACCTGGGGAATCAGTTCTTCACTGTTAGCTAGACCAGCCTATCAGTTTTTTTTTCCTTTTTCTCTGACAACTCTTGAACATACCTTGCATTAATGTCTTTGACTTTTATTTGGCCCTTTGTAATAAGAGAATTTGAGAATTGGAAAAGTTACCATGGTTTATTCATTCTTTTTTCTTTTTTTTTTTTTTCTCCCTTAACTCAGAACATTCATGTGTATTAAAAAAAAAAAAACAGCCAGTTGTGTCT